AAGAAAGAAGGAAAAGGTCAAAATGGATGTCAGAAGAGACTCTGAAACTTGCTCTCCAGTGTAGAGATGCTAAAGCAAATGGAAGAATTGAAGCGGTCCAAGGGTTGAACAGAAAATTTCAAAGATCAGCCAGAGAAGATAAAACCAAACACTATAATAAAATATGCAAAGATTTGGGATTAGAAAACCAAAAAGGAAGAACTCGATCAGAATTTCTCAAGCTGGGGGAACCGAAGAAAAAATTCAAGCCTCGACTTTCGTTATTGAAAGATTCTCTGGGCAAATTATTGAATGATGCAAATGCACCAAGAAAAGATGGAAGGAATACACAGAGTCATTGTACCAAAAAGAAATGGTTAATGTTCAGCCATTTCAAGAGGTACCATATGATCAAGAGCCAATGATACTCAGGGAGGAAGTTCAAAGTGCATTGAAGGAATTGGCAAAAAAAACAAGGCACCAGGAATTGATGGAGTAAAAATTGAAATCTTTCAAGAAAGTGAGGTGGCACAACAGCCACTCACTCATCTCTGCCAAGAAATTTAAAAGACAACTGAAAATAATGGTATCACATAATTATAACCGCCAAAAGAAGAAGGCGTGCTGATGGAAAACAAAAGAAAAATCACCATCTTCTTTCCATAAAAATAAACACAGAGGACCCCTTTCCAAGACTAAGACTCAAGGGGAATTCACAAGCAGACATGCGGTCTGACTGGTGACAGATAAGGTGAAGTGAGGGAAAAACAGCAATGAAGCTGTGAGCTAAGTCCAACCAAGTTCAATAGACTCCTGTGAACCCAGGTGGAAATCTGGTTGGCCAGCAGTATGGCAAGACCCGGGGACTCCTTGGCCCAGAGAGAGTGACATAGCCACAGAGGACTAGAGTGGAGAGTGAAGCGTCCAGCTGATAAGGAGTGAGGGGATACGCACAAGAACACCCACACTTGCAGATGATACCCACTTGACCTGGCTTCAATGGCTGGATTATCAGAACTCAACTAAAAGAAGAAAGAAGAGGAAAAAAAAGAGTAATCTGATATAATTTGATGAACTTGACCTACACCTATGGATGCAGTAGCTCAAAAGAGTGAACAAATCTTTACAGCAAGGATCATTCCCATCCCCTCTGTACAAAGGGTAGACAGGGATGGGCAACTTGGACATTGGCTACCCAAAATGTGTGTGTGGGGGGGAGGGGGGGAGAGACTACAAAGGCAATAAGTGACTGATACTGATTTACAAGCTTTCAAGAGTGAGCCTAGATCCAGAGGGAGCGGAGGAAGATAGACTCTCCATTGAGTAGTATCCAATCTGTCTGGGTGGGGCTGATGAAAGGAGATGGGGATAGGACTCTTGTGGTACAACAGTGAATAATTGCTATCAGGACTGACTGTGAGGGTTGGAAATGTAAAGGTGGAAGTTTTGTAGTAAAAGGAGGGGAGTGTTTGACTTTGCATTCCAGGAGTGGAGGTCCCTGGGACCATCAAGGGATAAGAGAGGAGTAAGGGAGAAGCAGTGACGCCAGAGATGATGATGATGATGTGGACAGATGGAGCGGCTGGGGACTCTAGACCCAGAGAGGGATAGGGGCTGTGTTCTAACAACCGAGGGGCAGGCTTACAGGGTATATATACCATTTGTTTGTTTGATGATGCATGCAGGAGATTGTAATAATGGCAATGAAAGATATAAGATAGGATGAATGTAAAGCAAATGTTCTTTTATGTAAACTACCACATAATTCACAATAAAAACTTAAAAAAAAAAGAGTTAACATGTAAAAAAAATAAATTAACACAGAGAAAAATAATTAAGGTGATTTTTTTTTTTTTAATGCCACCTTCTTCCTATTTTCCAGATTTCCTATCCTCAGTCTCCCTCCCCAATTATAGTCTAGGATAAGACTCTTAGGGGAAATGCTGGTCTTTATTTTCTTGGGAACAGAGAAATAGAAATGGGCGTTTGGAGGTCTAGAAGAAGCAGTTCTTCAAAAACTCCAGCAGAAATCAGACAAATATATAGCACAAAATACTATGACCCAATTGACTGTAAGGATTGTTGTTTTTAAGTGCTGTCGAGTCGGTTTTGACCTACAGCGACCCTCTATAAGGTTTCCAAGGAGTGACAGTTGAGTTTGAACCGCCGACCTGGCAGTTCAAACCAACCTTGTGATCTAGCGCTTATCCTATAGCGCCACCTTGCTACGTAGGAAAAAAAAAAAAAAGTCAGAGGAGGCTGTAGTAGAGATGGGGGAAGGTAGAAATGAGGAAAAAGGTAGCCCCGCCCACGCTCCCTCTTTCACCCTCCTGCCGCACTGCAGGTGCGAACCATAATTGGGAATCTGAGCTCACCGTGACGTATCCTTGAAGGGACCCAGAGCCAAGAAGTGGAGTAGTCTCTCCCTCTAGTTGCGGTGTGGTCATCGTTTGTGGCCAGTACCAGTAGTCCTGCGAAGGAGGAAGTGGTAGAAAAAAACTGATTCCGATTGTGGCAGGTTGGTGAGCTCTGACTGGGTTGGGGGTGACGGAAGATAAAAACCAGAGCAGGTCCAGGAGTGAATTACCTTGACTCTTTTCCCCTATGCCCACTCGTTTGGTGCAAGAAATGGAGGACTCTCAGGGAGAAGATCAGGAACAGCCAGCGTTTGGGAATAGGTACCAGATCAGATTTTCTAGAAGTCAGGCGGCGTTGGGCAGAGGGAGGGGACAACGGACCCCACAGTGGATTCAAGCCTGTGTTTCCAGCACGCCTTTACCTTCCGTCCATTTTGGAGCCAGAAGTGCTGCAGAGGAGGAGGGCTAGGGCTTCTACCCTGAACCTTCTAACTGAGTAAAAGAGGAGGGGAGGAGAAAACTCTCTGATCCCTGCAGGTTGGACACAGCTTGCAAGCCTTAGGGTAAGAATGGCAAAACTCTGAGATCTTAGTGGGTGGGCCCTGGTTTGCAGTGCCTAAATTGTCATACCCTCCCTTATTTCATCTTGATGCTTAAAATGGTGGGCAGTAGTAGCACTGGCCTTTAGAAAGGTCAGTAGATCACAGATTGGCCTGGCAGATACCCAGATTATTACTGTGTCTTTTAATAAATAAACCACGTGTCCACCCTGCAAGTTCTCCTGACTCCCCTGTCTCCCAAGTTACCAGTTAGTGTGCAGGAAATGATAATTCGTTGATGGGTGAAACAAACTAGACAATGGTGATGGGGGCCTAAGGAAGAGGTTAAACAAGATTTGAAAATAATCATCTTTAATTAGGATGGGTATTGTTGAAGCAAGGGTAACATGTCATCTGATAGGAAAGGAAGCCCTGAGTCAGAATGGAGGAGAAACAGAAAGAGGGAACATTGGAAAAGTAGAACCCTAAATTAACAAAGGAGCTGGTGCCCCCATACTGGTTCTTTGATCAAGTGGTCCTTCCACACAGGGACATTGTTGCATTTCTGTCTGCAGGTCTTTAGGTCTCCAAAGACCTCAAGACTAATAGAAGACCGGTGTCTGATCCCAGCAGGTAGGGAACTGCCTGGGGCCCTCTTGTATGTGAATATCAGATTAGCATAGCCTCTGGGGTACTCACAGCCTTCCCTGACAGTTACAGTACAAGAGAAAACTGAGACTGAGGAAGATAATGGTCATCCTTTGAAGGGAAAAGGGGTATATCAGGATCTTAAGAAGCAGAGACCTAATGTTTCAGCTACTGACACGGCCATCATCCATTATGGTGTCTGGAGGGGCCTAGGAAAAAATCTGTAGGGATAATGGTGGGTTGGATGGGAGGTAGGGATGGGCTGTGTCTGGGAGCTCCTTCAAGGATTCAAAATCTCTCAAGGGGGAAGACTGTTGCCAGCCAGAGCTCTGAAACCTGTTGTTATCAAGCATCTAATTCCTTGTGTTGCTTTTTATCTCCTAGGAAGAAGAAGCAAGAGAAAAAATCTCAATATGGAAAATATCTCCCAGGAAAATGAAGGGAAGGAGCAAATTCCTGTGCATAATGGAGTGGAAGCCCAACCTTTGGGAGTGGGTGAAGGCCAGGAGCCTGCAGGAAATATTAGAGGGGGTCAGGCTGCACCTGTACAGGAGTTAAGGGGGGATGTGCCCAATAGGCTTGCAAATAATTTTGATTTGATAGATGGAGATGCAGATGATATGGAACAATTCATGGAGGAGATGAGAGAGTTAAGGAGGAAAATTAGGGAACTGCAGCTGAGGTATAGCCTGCGAATTCTTGTAGGGGACCCTCCTCACCACAACCATCATGATGAGTTTTGCCTTATGCCTTGAATCCTGAGGTTAAGAATCTTAACCCTCCTGCTTTTCAAATTTATTTTTTCTTGATGTACCCTTAATGTGAAACTTTTGGTGTTCTGTCATTTTCTGAAGAGAGATTCATTTTGACCTAGTCTATAAATGTTTCTGTCAGCAGGAGAGTTTTATCAATATGCATGAAAAGATGTTTGTTATATATTGTAAAGTTAATAATAAAGCAGTTTTAAAGCAGTGTATAGATAGAGAATCTCATTTAAAAGTTTGCATATTTATGCTATATGTTGTGCTGGTGATGGTGGTATGCCATGGAATTCATTCCAACTCATAGTGACCCTGTATAAGGCTTCCAAGGCTGTAAATATGGGAACATAAAGCCTCATCTTTCTCTCATGAAGTGCCTAGTGGATTAAAACTGCTGATCAACACAAGACCCACTATACTACCAGGGCTCTTTTTATATGATATATTATATATATGTTATATATGTTACATATATATATATGTATAATATAAGGAGTCCTGGCATGGTCCTGTGGGTTAATACGCTGGACTGCAAAGTCTGTTTGAACCCAAGGTTGGCAGTTCAAGCTCACCAGCTGCTCCTCTGAAATTCTATATAGAATCGCTATGGGTTGGAACCAACTCAATGGCACTTAACAACAACAACAAAAATAACATATATATGCACACACACACCCACATATATATATGAATAGGAAAAAATGAATGAAAATATAAAAAACAGATTATGTTTATTTCTATGGAATAGAGTTATTGGTGCTTTTAATTTTATTTAATTTATTCTGAAATTATTTTTCTTTTTTCAAAATGCATATATAATCATATGTATCAGGAAAAAGGTTTAAAAAAATGACAGTCTGCACATATAGGGAATGGAGACAATAAATACCTGAGATACAACTTATGATATATAAATCTTCTACTAGCTCTGGATTTTTTATTTAGAAACACAAACTGGATTAGTGAAGCATATGAAAACCAGATCTCAATGGGACTGCCTTGTTTTTCTGGGTCTCACATGTTTTCCTGCTTTGTTGATGTAATAAAAAAGTATTACCACTTTTTTATTGCTTGTTTTAGTAGGAAATATTCAAGTTTTCCTTCTCTGACAGGTTTACACCTTACACAGGTTCAGCTTTCACAGGTTTTATTATAATTATTACAGATATAATAAATATTTTAATTCTTACAAATTTATTTAAAGTCAGGATATTCATCTATAAAATAAAGATAATGCATGCCTTACAGGAGTGCTGTGTACAAGATGTGTCAGTCTGCTTCTGTAAAGATTTATAGCCTTAGAAATCCTATGCAAAGTTCTGTTTTGTCCTATAGGGTCACTATGAGTTGGTATCCACTCAAAGCCAATGGGGTTTGGATTTTACAGGACTGCTGTGAGTAGCAAATAAGATATAGACTGAAGTCTGACTGAATCTATCCATACATGCAAGTCCCAGTCTACTAGGTGGCCATCATATTTAAGTAATGCTCCTAAGACTGTCACAAGTGCCTACCAGCAAGTCAAATTAACTACCTTGTTGTTGTCATCTTTCCTTTCCTTTCTATTCCTCTATTGCCATGCCTCCTTCCCTATATGACAACTGGGAACCATTTCCTTTTTACTGGGTTTCTGCTTCCTCGACTGACTGCTATCACTGCTAATGTCCTAAAGTCCTAAAGATGATGTTGCTCTTGTTAAGTGCCATTGAATAAGTTCTGATTCACAGTGACCCTGTATAGGTTTCCTAGGAATGGCTGGTGGATTTGAACTGCCAACCTTGTAGTTAGCAGTCCAGTGCTTGATTGACCCACTGATTTCTCTGAAACTTCCAGTGGTCTGAATCTCCATTTACCCTCTACAGAAATGTGGAGAATACTCCTTCCTGCTTCATAGTTATTCTTTTTTTTTTTTTTTTTTAAGTTTTTATTGTGAATTATGTGATAGTTTACATGGGAGAACACCAGCTTTACATTCATCTTATCATACTTTGTTTCATTGCAATGATTACAATCCCCTCATGTATCATCAAAGCCATCAGCATGCATGCAGCCCCTCTCCCTCCCTGAGTCTAGAGTCCCCAGCTGCTCCATATCTCCACGTCATCATCTCTGCCTCCACTCTGGTATCACTGCTTCTCTAGGTAGGGTCCCTCACTCTGCTCCTCTCACTTGATGGTCCCAGGGACCTCCGCTCCTGGACTGCAAAATCAACCACTCCCCTCCTTTTGTTACAAAACATCTACCTTTACATTTCCAACCCTCACAGTCAGTCCTGATAGCAATTATTTACTATTGTACCACAAGATTCTTATCCCATCTCCTTTCATCAGACCTGTCCCAACAGATTGGAAACCACTCAGTAGAGATTCTACCTTGCCCCATACCCTTTGGAACTAGGCTCCCACTTGGAAGCTTGGAAGCCAGTCACTTCTTGCCTTTCACAGTTATTCTTGATCCAGATGGATATATGCCCTAATGTTGCTCAGGTACCCAAACAGTCCTTTCTGGTTTTGCTCAGATTTCCTTCATCAATTCTTCTCCTAGGCAAACATTAGTGATACTGATGGTAAATAAACAAACCAAACTCAATTCCATTGTGTCCATGACTGTTCATTGTTGTTAGAGGCTGTTGAGTTTGTTGCAACCCTATGTACAACAGAACAAAACACTGCCTGGTCTTTTGCCATCCCCTCAATTGCTGCCATACTTAAGCCCATTGTTGCTGCCACTGTGTCAGTCCATCTCATTGGGGGTCTCCCTCTTTTTCGCTCTCCCTCCACTGTGATGTCCTTCTCCAGGGATTGATTGGCCCCTTCTGTTAAAATGTCTAAAGTATGAGAGACAGAATCTGGCCTTCTTCTCTTCTAGGGAACATTCTGGTTGTACTTCTTCCAACACAGATTTGTTTGTTCTTCTAGCAACTATGATACCTTTAATAGTATTCTCCAACATCATAACATGAATGTATCAATTCTTCTAGATTTTCCTTACACATTGTCCAATGTGAGGCTATCAAAAACATGGCTACCTCACAGTGACCCTATCCAGGGTTTCTGAGACTGTAAATTTTTACAGGAACAAATAGCCCCATTTTTCTCTGTAGAGAGGCTGGTTGGGTTGAACCGTCAGTCTTGAAATTAGAAGCCCAATGCATAGCCCATAGTGCCACTAGGGCACTAATAATGTAATAATGTAGAAGTTGTTGTTGTTGTTAAGTGTCGTCAAGTCAATTCTGACTCATAACGACCCAAGGAGCAGCTGGTGAGCTTAAACCACCAGCCTTGCAGTTCAAATGACTTTGCAGTCTGAAGCATTAACCTACAGTATCACACCAGGACTCCAATGTAGTAGTTGTTGTTGTTAAGTGCTGTTGAGTTGGTTCCGACCTATAGCGACCCTCTGTAGGGTTTCCCAGGAGCAGGCGGTGAGCTTGAGCCACCGACATTGCAGTACAAACGGTAGTAGCAGTTAAATGCTGTTGAGTTGGTTCCGACTCATAGCAACCCTATATAGGTTTCCAAGGAGCAGCTGGTGAGTTTGAAACAACCACCTTGCAGTTCAAACTGACCTTGCGGTCTAGTACTTATCCTACAACACCACACCAGGACTCCTCCGGAGTTCCAGATAGTGTACTCAGAATCAGACTTCCTCTTCCATCCCCATGTTAATGTGACCCATTCTCCTTGACTCCATTTTCCCATGGGTACACAGCTACAAGTTTCACTCTGCACTTAAACAGGCATTGTGGGATTTATTTTCCATCTCTAAGACTGTTGGGGTCCACACTACCTCTATCCCAGGAATCCCCAGTAGTCTCTATTAACATTAACCTAAATGGGAACCAGAGTAGTTTCCATCTTCTGTTTACTTGAGATTTACTGGGCACAATAAACCTATGATCACAGATAGATGGGAAACAGTGGCAGAGAGGATAGATCCTTGTTTTTGAATATTTTTCACCACCCAGTCATTGTCGCTCCCCATTAAGCTGCCCTTTTTGCAGTAAATATTTTGTCTCATTTATTCTGGTACACATAAATGCCTAGCACAGTGTCTGACAGATTGTAGGGCATTAGCAGTCCAATATAGCTGAATCAAGTACCTAGCAGTCTGGGCTTAGTTTTGCCTCTGACCATTTATGGGCAAGTAACTTCATTTCTGTACTGACTCTTGTTTGTAACTAAAAAAGGAAGACAACAGAGGAAGCATTGTACCCAATTTCAATACATACTAGTACCATACCTTGGGTCAGGCATATCTTAGTTCTTAAAGTGACATCTTTGCTTTTTAACACTATCTATTAACCAATATGGAGTCTTGGTGTGGCGCTGTAAGATAAGCACTAGACTGCAAGGTGGATTTGAACTGCAAGGTCGCAAGTTAAAATCCACCAGCTGCTCCTTGGAAATCCTATACAGGGTTGCTAGGAGTTGGAACCGACTTGAAGGCACTAAACAACAACAACATTAACCAATATGGGAGAGTGGTAGATCCATACGCTAAGCATTGGACTGAAAGCTACAATGTTTAGTGTTCAAGTCCACCAGCTACTTTTCAGGAGACAGATGAGGCTTTCTGCTCCAGCCAAGATTTAAAGCATCAGAAACCCTATACAGGATCACTATCAGTCAGAACCCATTTGACAGCACTTAACAACAACAACAAAATTAACCAATATATCTGGTTAATTTATTCTATACGTTTCTTGAGTGAATGTGTGACCCTGTTCACATAATTTTATTTATCTAGATTATATATCTTATGAAAAATATAATACAACCTCATCACATGAAATCATTTTTAAATAGTATTTGTCAGTGTTTCTCCAAGTGGGCTGATCTATCAAGTGCTTGTTTAAAATAACAGATTCTCAGCCACACACTCAAGAACCATTCTTTAACAATGGAGCCCAGTTACTTGCATTGTTAACAAGCTTCCTAAGGTAATTCCGATGCACATTAGAGTTTGATATTACTCATACATAAATTTAATCA